AATAAAAAAGATCTGTCCTTGTACTAATATTGAAATAACATACCTTTCGCAACCAAAGCAAACAACCTACGGTGTGCCGCAAGGAAGCGTACTCGGTCCATTACTATTCCTAATATATATCAATGATTTGCCCCAGGTGACTCAGCACCCTATGACCTTATTTGCTGATGACAGCACAGTTTTATTCACGGTACGAGACAAGGTCTCAATTGAAACGGACATAACTCAGAATTTATACAGGATAATAGAGTGGCTGAATGACAATAATCTTAAAATTAATTTGGATAAAACGCATATTATGTCATTCAAACAAAGAAAAAAACAACCAAAAATTAATATTAACTATAAAACTAAAATCATAAACGAAAAAGAACACACAAAATTTCTGCGAATTTGGCGGGACGAAAAAATGACATGGAGTAAACATATTGAACACATAATAAAAAAAGATAAATCAATTCCACTATGCACTACATAACCTTATAAAAATTACAAATCGTGAAACAGTCATAACCGCCTACCATGCATACGTCTCTTCAACATTGAGATATGGTATAATATTTTGGGGAAATTCTCCAAAACGCGAACTAGTATTTAAAGCGCAAAAGAAATGTTTACGAGCAGTATGTCAGTTGCAGGTTACCGATAGTTGCAAACCGCATTTCAGTGATCTTAACATTCTGACCCTACCATCTTTATATATATTTGAAGTAGCTATGTTTGTAAGGAAACATTTAGGCATATTTGAAAACGCTAATAATAAACGACATAGGAATAAACTACGCACAAAACCTCATAAAACAGCCCTGTATTCAAAAAGTTTCCTGGGTATGGCGCCTAAAATTTTTAATAAACTCCCAAAATACATCAAAGAAACTGATGATATAGCCAAATTTAAGAAATTGCTTTCGAGTTTTTTAATATATAAAGCATACTACTCTATCAACGAATACTTTGAAGATAAAATGAATGGTATCTGAAATAATTAATGGTCAATTTATTTATTATATGTTTATATTTATGTAATTGATAATTAAGATAATAATTAATGTTATTTCTAAACATACTAATTTTAATTGAAATTGTTATTTTATTAAAAATTAATTTTCATATTGCCAGGTTATAGTGCCAGTTTCATAGTGCCAGTGATAAACAAATATTTGTATGCCTTTGTAGGCGAAACATAGTGTTATGTATCATACCTTTTCCACCAAACTTGCAACTTTTTACCTATGTTTTACAAATAAATTATTTGATTTGATTTGATTTGATTTGATCTTCGTGTACAATACAATAACGCGTTCCGGGTATTGATAGGGCTGCCGCGTTTCTGTAGCGCTTCTGCTATGTTTGCGGAGGCTCACGTAGATGGTTTCACCGCCATAATACGTAAACGTTGCGCTTCACACCTTAGGCGCATTCGCGACAGCCCCAACAGTATCTTGTGTGCTTTGGCAGACCGGTGGGACTCGCCGATGCTTGCTCGATGGATACGGCTGCACGCAGTCAAGTAGTCATCTTGCGGGCAGGGCCGGGTGCCATATTTGTTTGTGTGGTTTTTCTGTTTGTCCTTGTTTTATGTTATATGTGTTATGTTTCAATAGTCAATTACTAACATTAGTTATAAGCTCTAAAAATTGTTACTAACCTATATGGATCATGATGTCCAAAATAAACGTTTATTATTATTATTAAGACAAATACAGATAGATATAAAAGATTGAAATAATACTAGTTTTTACGGAATTTATCGCGTATATTTAACTTTTTAACTTTTTAAATACCCGACGTTTCGAACGCTTTACAGCACTCATGGTCAAGGGCGGGACTGAGATGTTCCACGTCCATATGTCATAGTTAACCGCGGTTACCATAGATTAAAATTTAACTTTTGTTCCGATCTATGCAGTATGAACTTATGGTATCTTGAAGTCTTGCAGTTGTATGCTTGGGTTGGGATTTAATTTTATTTATTATAGGATCCCAAGCAGATGGTAGCACCCAGCCATCTTCTCTATTGAAATTAGGATGTTTTTTGATTTCAATAGCCTCGCGAATCATCCTTGGAAGGAATCGGTGTTTTTAGCGAGGATTTGTGGTCTATCAAATCTGATGTAGTGACGGGGGCGATCCTGTACGTGTTCACAGACTGCAGACTTCCCGGAGCGTCGTTAAATATACGCGATAAATTCCGTAAAAACTAGTATTATTTCAATGTGTAGTATTCGCTTAAATATAAGAAATCATGATATAAAAGATTTTTTAAATATTATAATTTGAATAAAAAAGTACGTATAAATGGTTTTTGTTTATTAAATTATTTTTAACCGTTGACTAAATGTTACCCTGTTTCATATTTATAATAAAATAAAAATACATTTTAATTGATATTTTAAAGCTTTCTTTTTATTTTGTATTGGACTACATACGTTATCCACGTGGCCATTTACGTTATTTTATAAGGCGCGACCGCTGCAGGATTTAAGTAGTCTTGTTACAGTTTTATTGTTTATATGTTGCTAATATAAACTAGTCTCGTTAGAAGTGCCATTGTGCTTGCGTGTTCAATTTTAAACCTAATTTATAACATATAAGGGTTGACTTTAAAAAAATAAACATATAACTCCACAAAAAATTCCTCCAAACTACTTCTCTCTTGATTTATTGAATGAACAGGAGACTAGGCTCCAATAGTTCTCTTCGACTTAAACACATGTTCATTAGTAATCACAACACACACTACTACTCAACAACTACTCTAGCGCGACTGGCCGAGCGCTGTTTCGTGCCCACACGAGATATCGCTGTCGAATCGCCCCTCGCCGCGCTGCCCCGCTAACTGCCATCGCTCGACCGTGTCTAATTTTGTACTTGCAGCTTGAGGCTCATCTTTATCTGACAATGGAGATGTATTTGAAGCTGATGGTTATAGAAAAGGACATTGCGGCATTGCTATGGCTATTGTGTGTATGTGTAAAGTAAGTAAAAACAGACTCAATAAGTATTACGCAATCATCTATATTGAATAGGATCATTTCAATTGATTGCCTTGGATGGTACTTCTGGAGAGGAAGAATCGATACGATGACGGCGGCTATGTAAGTGAAAACTAGAGAAAATTTAAAATCGTCGCAAAATGACAACTTACGTCAACATCAGTTGACAGTCTTGACATATGAAATTACAAACTAAAATTCTTCATTGTCTATGAACATTAGGGCTGCTCTCAAATGACATTATAGTTCATAAAAGATAGCTTGATCTCTGCGACAGCTGTCAGTAAAATCAGGCCTATGAAGTCCTGAATTTCTTAGTAGTACAGACAATACCTGTCAATGTTATACTTTATGGGCATGCACTAATTAGGTCGGCATGCCCATAAAGTATGACATTGACAGGTACTGTCTGTACTATTAAGAAATTCAGGACTTCATAGGCGTGATTTTTACTGTGAGCTATCGCAGAGAAGATCAAGCTATCTTTTATGAAACATAATTCAATCAAAATCATCATCTATGTTGGAAGAAACATGGTAGCAAAATAGTTGCCGCTACCTTATAATGGGAAATAAAAACTATTGTCGTTCCAAAATTATCATAATCCTAAGGATAACGACATCTTATGCATTGTTACCAGGATTTGCACGGAATTTGGGCGTATGCATCGTTTAATAGTTTTGAAAATTCTTTGGCAATAAAATAGGTCACTCAGCATATTATGTATTTTATTAAGCGCATTTAAGAGCGATGCATGCTGCGCAGCTTCGCTGTGCATATCGCACTACAACTGCAGTAACACAGCATCTCGCGTACCTTATTTCTTTTCCTATTTGCTTGCGAGCAATGTACAAATATAGAGATTTCGGCGACGGTGATGAGCATTTGGTTATTATTTCTTTATTGTGTACAAAAAATTACAAGTTAAGGAAGAAAAACGAAAAAAGAGGTTGTCACTTGCTACTATTAAGTGACTTGTATTATACTTGAGAACAAATATTATTTGTGAGGGCTGGTCTTAGGTTTGCTATGCAGAGTTTTCGTGCAATTAGGTTTTGAACTATCGTACTTACATTTAGGTACTCAATTTATCTATTATTTTTAATTTATGCATGTTAATTATATTTTACCGTTAAAAATTACAAAAGGTGAAGTTTTTTTGCCTTCTCTTTCTTTGGAAATGAACTCGCACTGTTGTACTATTGCCAGTGTCAAGTTTAAAAATTATTCTTATTTCCTAATAATTTCTTCTAAAACTTCTTTACAATATGCTGATGCGCCATACACGCTGCAGTTTTTCAGAGACAGACGGCAGCTCGATCCTGCAGAAAGTCGTTGATGACAGTTACTCAAAGTGCCTAAGCAGACACATCTTGATTTTCAGATCACCGTCGAGTCGGAGCACTTGTTTCATCGTTTACACTAATTACCAAACCATTATTGAAATGATAAAATATTAGCTCATTTTTGAGAGGGTTTTAGGACAAGGAAATGTCCGCCGCGCTGCGACAATGCATGCTGGCGAACTTCAAATGTCTTCAAAAATTTTTTTTGTTATTTCTCAGATATGCAGATTTCCTCACGAAGTTTTCCTTCACTACAACAGAGTTACATTTATTACATGCGTTTGTACCATGTTGTTGTTTCCAGTGAAAAGGGTCTCCGGCTCTCGACACTCACCATACAAAACACAGCAGCTGCTAGCCTGTCTTACGCTCAACTCTTTATATGACGCCAGTAAAAAAATCAAAAATAATAAAAATAGCTCTTGTTGAATACTTTTGTTTTAAAATATATTATATTAGCAACACCGTAGCGTTAAAAGTATTGAAAATAGAAATGAATTATTACTTGCTTAGGGTTAGGACAAGTATAAAAATATATAATAGGTAATATTATTTCATAATTTAATATTATACATAGGCTTTAGCGGGTCCTGGCCAAAGAAAACCTATGCTACGCCACTATTAAATTTAATATATAAAATCATTTTTAAAATAAATTTTAATCATCAGTATTTAAAATATCATTTGCAATCTCATTTTGACCGCTGTCTGCACTTTCGAGCGGTTCAGGTGTGCCGTTCAAAACTTTATCGATCCACGTTCGGCTGTAAGAAACCTGAAAATAGAATAATTTTATAAAATTATTTGAGATACGCCCCAGCTTAGTTGGACAATAAGAGAAGTGGCTTATGTTGGACAATAAGAAAAGGACTTTTATGGTCCTTCGTCCTTCCACATTAGAACCGACCCATTCGTTATATATTTACCTTTTATCTTTAATTATTATACAGTATATATAAACATTTTATTTGAAATAGTTTCATATACATATTTCATTTATATTATTAATTTTAGCCAACCTTGAACTGAATTTCCTAAGGTTTTGAAACTTTCGCCATCGGCCAGAAATCGACCTTCGGTTGGACACTACAAGCAGTAGCAGCACTCGTACTGGTGAGGTTCTGTGTACGTACTGATAGGACCGATACTTTGTCTTTGGCTGTATTATACTCGTACAGTCCACCTGATTGTAAGTGGATGCTAAGGCCCGTAGACATCTACATTTATCCGCAATTCAGAACAAAATACAGTTGCATTATTACTCCAGAGGATTCAAATGGAATGCCTCATTTCTAGTTCCTGTAGAAAGTTCTCTACACTCACCATACGAAACACAGCAGCATTAAGATGCTTTTTTATGTTGGTATTCTGTGAGAGCATGGTCCTTCCTAGATCGAGCCGACTCATTCATGCTACAACCATAATTAAGCTTCCTCTTGGCTCTACCGCATAGAAAGCGTTACAGTAGAAAGTGAAGCCAGTCTAGCAGTGGTACGTATTCTGCTGTACTGGCGTCGTATTATAAAGGCTGTTATTTTTTTATTTTCTTTTGTAATCAAACTGTAGTTAAAAACACTTCCTCTGGTATTCTGAGGGGAAGACCATACGGTGGAGTAGCTATTCTTTGGAAGAAGGGCTTGTTTGACTGTGGATCGGTTATAGAATGTTCTAGTAAGCGGCTAGCTGCCATCAAGGGTGTATTAGGGGATAGATCCATCTTGGTATTTTCTGTTTATATGCCGACTAAGTCGGATAAAAACTTACCTATTTTTACAGAAATACTAAGTGAAATAAGTGCAATTGAAGCTAGTAACAACGTGGAGAATATGTATATATTAGGAGATTATAATTCATATCCCGAAGAACTTTTCTACACCGAACTAAGTCGTTTCTGTACGGATCAGTCTTGGGTATGTGCAGATGTACAAATGCTAGGGTCAAATACGTATACCTTTCTAGACCAGTGTCGTGGTGGCACGAGGTGGCTAGACCATTGTGTGGTCTCCTTATCAGCCTGGCATACTGTCACTGATGTAGGTATAGTTGAAGATGTATGTGGATCGGATCATCTGCCTATCTACTTAGAGTGTAGTTTAGAGAATGTAAGGCCTAAACGGGTGATGCGTGACATGCAACGCAGTGCGGTTACATGGGGAGAAAGAAGTGAGTCTCAGATAAGAAAGTACCAAGAGTTATGTCATAAAGAGCTACGAGACATTGATTTTCCTCCCGAATTCGCTAGTTGCAGTCACGGGTCATGCGATAACGCCTGTCATAAAAGTTTGGTATTAAAACAAATTACGTAAAAATTGTTAAGCCTTGTAGAAAAAAAGATCCTATATGGGTGGAATAAAAATGTGAGGGATGCTCATTGGGAGGCCAGGCTTAAATTTCAAATGTGGGTTTTATATAATAGACCCGTTGTAGGCGAAATATATGAGCAGATGCGCGAGTCACGCAAGGTTTTTAAAAGTAGACTCAAATGGTGCATAAATAACCAAGAGCAAATCAAAATGGATAAAATAGCGAAACTGCGAGCGGATAAAAATTTTGGTAAATTTTGGAAGTCCACCAGCAAACTGGAGATTAAGTCTGGCCTGCCGGCCAGAGTAGATGGAATTACTGATCCGGAGGGAATTGCAAACCTGTTTATGGAACATTTCAGGGTACGATCGCCGCTGGGCCCCTCAACGGGGATGCCTGGTCCTGAGCCTGGCGTGCGGGTGGATGAGCCTATGCTATTCTTTACGGCTAGTCAAGTCAGAGATGTAATCAAGCGGATGAGCAGGGGCAAATCTCCCGGACATGACGGACTTAGTATCGAGCACCTAAAACATGCGGGTGTACACCTGCCAAGGATCCTGTCTCTATTGTTCAATATGTGCATTGGACATTCATATCTACCACCGGATCTAATGGAAACCATTGTGGTGCCCATTGTCAAAAACAGGGTAGGTGATATCTCGGACAAGGGCAACTACCGCCCTATTTCTCTTGCTACCACGGTGGCCAGTTCGGGTTTTGGCCCGGATATCCACTGAAAGCGCAATACTAAGCCTAAAGCACACTGTCAAATATTATACAAGCCGGAGGACGCCGGTGTACGCCTGCTTTCTAGATCTCTACAAAGCATTTGATCTGGTTTCGTATGATGTGCTTTGGAGGAAGATGGAGGACAGGGGTGTTCCGGTGGAGGTACTAAATCTCTTTCGGTATTGGTACACAAAGCAAGTAAATTGCGTTAAATGGGCTGACCAATTGTCCAAGTCGTAGAGGTTGGAGTGCGGAGTAAGGCAAGGTGGGCTGTCATCTCCAAAGCTGTTCAACCTGTATGTAAATGACCTCATAGTGGAGCTCAGCAGCATGCGAGTCGGATGCAAAGTGAGTGGTGTTAATGTAAACAACATTAGTTACGCGGATGACATGGTGCTGCTGGGCCCCACTACGAGTGCTATCAGAGAAATGTTGAACGTATGTGAGAGCTATGCTAAGTCGCACGGTCTAGCCTACAATGCCTTTATGGTCTTTAAGGCCGCCTGTAAGTGTCCCGAATTTATACTTCCAATTTTCCTCGGTGGAGTGGAGCTGAACAGAGTTTTCCAATTTAAGTACCTGGGCCACGTACTTACCGACGACCTTAGAGACGATTTAGACATAGAACGGGAGCGTAGGGCTTTGGCGGTCCGTGGTAACATGCTGGTACGTAGATTCGCTCGTTGTACGGATGAAGTCAAGATTACGCTTTTTAAAGCATTTTGTCAAAACATGTACATGAGCAGTCTGTGGATCAGCTACACCAAAGGATCGTTAAACACCCTTCGCGTCCAGTATAATAATATCTTCAGGATGATGTTGAAGCTTCCTCGTTTTTGTAGTGCATCTGAAATGTTTGCGCAGGCGAGAACGGATGGTTTTCAGGCACTCATGCGCAAGAAAGTGGCGTCATTAATAAGCCGCGTACGGGGAAGTGACAACAGCATCCTGAGGATGGTAGCAGATGATCCACATGCACCTATATTAAGGAGCTATGTGCGGACAATGTCAGGATTTGTTAATTATTTAAATTAAATTATTATTATAATATAGTACTACTAACCCCCCTTACTATTAGAATTAATTACTAACCCCTATGGACCTATATTGTCTGAAAATAAAAAGATTTGATTTGATTTGAAAAACAAGTCTAAGTTACAGCCTAATAAATTCCACTGCTGGGCACAGACCTCCTCTCATTTGTGAGAGGGTTTTAGGGCAAGGAAGTGTCCGCCACGCTCCCCAATGCGTGGTGGCAAGCTTCACATGTCTTCGAATTTTTTTTTCTTATTTCTCGAAAATGCAGGTTAGATCACGATGTCTTCCTTCACCACCAAGTACGTAGTAAATCAACACTTAAAATAGCAATAAACAATTTCATTGGTGGCGGTGGGGATCGAACCCGAGTTGCTCGCGTACTGTGAAATTTACAGCGAGCGCTAACCATTTGAGCTACCACGACCCAATAATAAAACTAATTATAGATAATTAAACTGTTTACCTTAGCAAATATTCCAGGTTTGGATTTGTAAGCACACTCTTCAGTGCCTGAAAACAAGGCAATTCCATACAAAGTGCCAGCTCGATTCATACCACTGAAGTGCACAGCGGGGTCGCCAGTGTCTCCCTGGTAAATAGGAAAGAAACGCAATTTTAACATTGTAAAAAAATTTAGCCGTGATATAGTAGCCATGTGGCGCCCCCAACGAGATAAGTGACGATCTGGTAAGAAATGTAGGAAGTCGTGGATGCAAGTGGCTTAGGACTGGTGGCTTAGGCGTTAACAGTGGTAGAGCCACGCGGCAGCTTTGCTGTTGTACGTTTGGGCCAGCTCAAGCCGAGGTGGTACCACGACCTCACAGAATACCGACGTGAAGTGGAAGCTCAGCTTACGCGTTTGGTGAGTGCAGGTAACCGGATGCCCTGTCCCCCCACCATCAACGTCGTAGCGGAAATAAATGTTAGAATACCCCCGGAGGGTACCAGCACCCCTAGAGAATCCCTCGCTGAGCATCCACGAACAAGTTACTCCACTCCAGAGCGTGGGTGCTCAGGTTGCCCCGCGTATTCTGGGGGGGGGGGGAGGTTGAAATTCCGCTCAAGACAACAACTGCTCGGAGCAAGTGGAGCAACAAGACCAAGGTGACCCCTGTTACGCTATCCGTAAATTTCTGCAATATCAGGGGACTTCACTCTAACCTAAACGCCGTCCACTACCATCTCGAGAGGGCGCGGCCAGCTTCTGCTCTTTTTGACCGAGACGCAAGTGTCCTCTCCAGGTGATGCTTCGTATCTCTCCTACCCGGGGTACAAACTGGAACACTTCTATGTTCCTCGGGCTGGAGTTTGCGTTTAAATCAGAGAGGACATCTGTTCTCGACGCCTCGGCTGTCCTGAAGTTTCATACCTGTCCATCCTTTGGCTACACGTAGACAGCGACGACCATCCGCGCGTCTGCGGGTGCCTCTATAGGTCCCATAGCGTTAATGCCTAAACAGACCGCCTCTTCGACTACGTCCAAATGGCTACAAATTCGTTGCTACGGCAGATCTCCTCCTCAGAGATCGTGATCCTCTGTGATTTAGACGCCCATTACGCCAAATGGTTGGGTTCACGTTTAACCAATCATGCGGGGAGATCTGTTCATGATTTTGGTTGGTCTGACACAACTGGTTACTTTGCCTACGTGGATACCAGATGTGACGGATCAGGCAACGTCCCTGTTGGACCTTCTGTTGACCTTTCATCCGGACAGATATCAGAATTACGTCGACGCCCCTTTAGGCTCCTCGAACCATTGTCTTGTCCGGAGTGTGGTGCCACTTACGCTGAAATTGCGGTTGCATTCTGCAGGCTGCCGCCGTGTTTGGCACAATAGGTTAGCCGATTGGGATAGGATGCGGTCTTCCTTTGCTTCCTACCCTTGGGATCGGGTTTGCTTCTCGCCGGACGATCCCGACGTTGTTGCTGATTTTTTCGCTGATATGGTACATCGTAGGCAAATCTCAGCCATGGTTTGGTCGCTCCTGTAAAGTAGCATCATGCTATAAACAGGAGTGCTACCAAGTAGGGTGGCTGGGTTGACGCAGCAACATCCCGGGATGTAAATACCAGCGCTCCTAAAAAGAAGTATAATTCCGCCTCCAGGTCATTCAAAAGAGTCATTGCCAAGGCAAAATCAGAGCACATAGGCAGAATTGGCAAGAAACTAGTTCGCCTTCCTTCTGGAACACGTGCATTTTGGTCCCTCGCCAAGGCTGTCCAGGGGAATTTCTTTCAACCATCTCTTCCATCTCTTCACAGGGAGGACGACTCACTAGTATATGCCGCAAAGGAGAAAGCTGATCTGCTAGGCTCTTCATTTGCGTCCAATTCGACTCTCGATGACAAGGGGAGTACGCCGCCGACCATCCCGCGATGCGGGATCCGCATCTCCATGCCGGAGGTGAGGTTCACACAGCGCTCGGTTCACAAAGCACTTCTATCCCTGGCCATCCACAAGACGAGTGGGTCTGACGGAATCCCCCCATTTGTGCTGAGGACGTGTGCTCCAGAGTTGGCATCGGTTTTGATGCGTTTTTTCCGGTACTCCTACTCTCTAGGCGTAGTCCCAAAATCATGGAAGACGGCGTTCGTCCACCCGATCCCTAAAAAAGGCGGCCGCTCAGATCCGTCCAACTACAGGCCTGTCGCCATCACCTCCTTGTTCTCCAAAACAATGTAGTCCATTGTAAACTACTAGCTCGTGAGGTACCTTGAGGATCACCAACCGATTATTGATCACCAATACGGTTTTCGTAGTGGTCGATCAGCTGGTGGATCTTCTGGTCTAACTGGCTCATAGATGGGCGGCGGCAGTAGAGTCCAAGGGGGAGGCATTGGCTGTTGGTTTGGACACTGCGAAGGCCTTCGATCGGGTTTGGCACAAAGCACTTCTTTCGAAGCTCCCTTCCTATGGGCTTCCCGAAAAATTGTGCAATTGATTCACCTGTGGACTAGGGGGATAAGTCGCTCGCGTCCGTAGGCTTTGACCACCTATTCCTAGGCCCACCCTACACGTGTCCCCCGGGTGGTGCTAAATGAGCGACAAGCCGATACCACAGACTCGGCTCCACGCCGTGGTAGCGGCGTAAAATATACTACTCCATATTTCGCACCATGAGGAACCATATAAAAGAAATGGCCCCGAGTTCCCGGTGCCCCTTTAACGGGGCAGGGGTGCGAAGAATCTCCGGGAGGAAAACCGGCGATGAGGTTCGCCACCCGTCACGTTCTGTCTCCCGGAGAGGCGAAAAGTGGATTGCAGAGGCCCGTCTGGCTACGTTGAATGTACGTGGAGCAATGAATGATAAAATGGATGAAGTATGCGATATGATGTATGATAGAGGAATAGATGTGTTATGTGTAAATGAGACGAAAAGGAAGGGGAAGGATGTCACTACAGACGGCATGTATACCGCATACTGGTCTGGTGTAGACGAGATCGAGCGGGCATGCCAGGGAGTAGGTATCATCCTTTCAGAAAGAATGGGCCAATGTGTGAAAGAGTATGAATGTGTAAGCCCAAGACTGCTGGATATGAATGAAAGTGGGCTTAAAGAAGTTATTTGTGTTAGGGGTCTACGCCCCAGACATGTCTAAGCCCACCTATATCCGAGAGCAGTTTTGGGAAATGGTAAGGATGGTGTTAACGAAGTGTAAGGGAAATGAAAATATTATTATGCTAGGAGATTTTAATGGAAGGGTTGGGGTGAGGAGGCTTGGTTATGAAAGGATATTGGGAACATTTGGTGATGAAAGTATAAATGAGAATGGTGAAAGTCCCCTCACCGTATGTATGGAAAAGAATCTTTTTGTGACGAACACTTGCTTTCGCCACAAGAGGATTCACATGTATACTTGGGAAAGAGGTGACGATAGAAGCATGATAGATTTCATAATTGTGGATGAAAGATTGAGGGGCGCAGTGGTAGATACAAGGGTTTACCGGGGTTCTAACGTAGGAACGGATCATTATTTGGTTTAATAATAAATTAATGGTCTATTCAGGCGTTGGCGCCATCGATCATCTGTGTCTACCACTGCGTTACAGCGTATTAGAACAGAAAGGTTACAAGATGAAGGTGAGAAAAACAAGTTCAAATGTAGACTGAAAGAAAATATAAGTGGTTTGGATGAATTATGTATGAAGGAGTTAGACTTGGAGAATGTATGGCAAAACGTAAAGAAAGGTTCAGTGGATGCAGCTACCGAAGTATGTGGTGTTAGTAAGAGAAAGAATGAAAGGAAAAATAATACGTTATGGTGGGATGATGAGATATGTATGGAAGTTGAAGCAAAGAAGAGAGCATGGCTAGATTTACTAGCAACAAAGGCTGGTAATTCTAGCGGTACGAATGATGATATCGAAAGAAAAAAGGCAGTCTTTAGACATCTTAATAAGAGAGTAAAAGAAGTAGTTGAAAGTAATAATAGTAAAAAAAAAGAATAGTAGCAAGAAAGAACGGATAAGAATGATAGAAGAATATCGGATAACTTCCAGGCAAATATTAAAATGTTCTGGAAACTTGTAAGAACTGCCAGGGGATATTCAAAACAGCCTATGATGAATGCTATAAGAGACGAGAATGGCTATATTCTATAATTCCTATAAATTCTATAATGACGAAATTTTGAGTTTAAAATGATGGAAGAATATTTTGGAAGCGTGTTTATGAGTGAGGAGACAACGTGTGTATTAAGTGAAGTAGAAACTCCGAAAGAAGAGGAAAGAGGTAGCGAGATAAGTATAGATGAAATAATGAAAGCAATGAAAAGCATGAAAGCAGGTAAGGCTGCCGGATATGATAGAGACTCGAAATGCTAAGGGCTGGAGAGGAAGTTGTGGCAGGCCTGCTGCACACCTTGTGTAATTTATGCTGGGAACTGAAGCGGGTACCGGTAGACTGGTGCAAAGCCGTGATAGTTCCAGTATATAAAGGAAAAGGGTCGCAGCAAGACTGTAAAAACTACCGCGGCATCAGCCTTCTTAGCATTGTGGTAAAACTGTATGCTAAGGTACTGATTAAAAGGGTCATGAAAGAAACTGATGGAAAAATTTGGGATGTGCAAGCAGGATTTAGAAAGGGAATGGGATGTACAGATCAAGTCTTTTCCATGCGCATGATCGCGGAGAAGTTTTTGGCCAAAAACCAAAAGGTTTTTTGTGCGTTCATGGACTTGGAAAAGGCCTATGACAGAGTGGATAGGGATGTGCTATGGCAAACACTGAACTCATTTGGGTTGAGCGCTGGCTTGATATAGGCATTGGAGTCTCTTTATAGGGACTCTAGTGCTTGTGTTAGGATCAACGGGGTCTACTCGGACTGGTTTAACATCCATAAAGGTGTCAGACAGGGCTGTGTGGCTTCCCCGTGGCTGTTCAACCTATTTATGGACAGTTGTTTGCAAAATTTGAAAGTTGAAGAATGCGGATTAAGAATGGGTGAGTTAACCGTCAAATGCCTTTTGTACGCCGATGATCAAGTTATCCTTGCGTCGTCGGCGGCCGAGTTGCAAATGATGGTTACATTAATGAACAGATCATTAAAAGAAAGGGGTATGAAAGTGAACGCAAGTAAGACGAAGGTTATGGTTTCTGAAAGAGAAGAAAGTAATACGATTTGTGAAATAAGGATAGAAGGGAAGTTGATCGAGCAAGTAGATGAGTTTGTATATTTGGGCTGCGTATTTAGCAGGGATGGGAGATATGATAAGGATACAGAAAGACGAGGGAAATAGAGTAAATGGGGCCCTGCTGCCCTGGACGTCCTAGGCGAAAATTTATGGACCAAATTGGCGATTTATTGAAAACGGGCCAAATTAGGAGTACCCTTAACCGACGAGCATGTATGCGTAGGTGTATGGATGTGAAGGAGGCGAGAGAGGTGTGTCAGGATCGTGCCAAATGGAAGTCTGTAGTCTCTGCCTACCCCTCTGGGTGACAGACGTGAGTGTTTATGTATGTATTATATGATTCACATGTTTCCTTGCTGATTGGAGCATTAAGGTCTTAGTAGAATACTCTGTTAATTAATGGCATATATTAACACTGGTGTTCCACAAGGCTGCGTGCTATCACAAACACTGTTTCTTCTGCATATCAATGATATGTTGTAAACTGGTAACATTCATTGCTATGCAGGCGACATCACTGGTGATGACTATACACCAGCCGTGCCAATATTTCTCGGGGAAATGTTTTCGAGTACCGGGACAAACTTGTGTCTGAAGTCGAGTCGTTTCTGAACGCTTACGAGTATTTGAAATTTGTATGCCCATAAGGCTGATCACAGACTGAATAAAACTATTTATACGGATTTTGAGTGAGTGAGATTTAGGATTAGGGTACACCCCTGAAAAATACACTGAAAAATAAATTTTATTATAAATGTATAGAATTTACATCACAATCTGATGTAATGGTGGTGACGATCTTTAACTTAAGCACAGACTGCAGACTTCCTGGACCGTCTGTGCTTCACGTCAGCTATATTTTCTTTCACGCGGGCTTTTAAAGATCTCTTTGTTTGACCTTTGTAAATGAGAGCATGTTCACAATCTAGCTTGTACACTCCTGCATCTCGTAGAGGAATATTACACTTGATGGGTGGTAAAAATTGACTAATCTTTTTCGTTTTCGTTTAATCAGACCCATTTTACTGGAAACGAGGCATTCCATCTTAGTCCTCACGGGTGACAACGCATCTGCATTTTGATTCGTAATCGAGGATGGATGTAGATGTCTATGAGCCACAGCAGCCGCTTTTCATCAGGTGGACTGTGTGCTCGTTTGTCACCCTATCTTATAAAAAAATCGTTCCCACCATTACATCAGATTTGATAAACCACAAATCCTCGCAAAAGAACACCGATTGATGAGAGATGAATAGGTGCTGCCATCTGCTTGGGAGCCTATAATTAACGAAATTAAATTCAAACCCAAGCTTAGATAGGACTAAAAATTAATATTCAAAAACTGAAGGTAGCCAGGCTAACTATGACATTGGGACGTCAAACATCTCAGTCCCCCCCCCCCATGACCAATAGTGCTGTAAAGTATCCGAAACGTGGGTAATTAAAACAAGTTAGTTAAATGCCATAAAATCCGTATTTATCCGGATGGATGATTTGAATTTTTAAATTAAAAAAATTATATGATTAAATAGTTTTATTCAATTTGTAGAGTTCGTGTAAATTTAAGAAATCATCAACTTCTTAATTTCAGTTACTGCACTTTCCGCTCTGTGGGTGTCGTGAGGGGCGACCGGCGAAAACTGAAACTGGAGATGGGCAGCAGCATCCTGATGGTAGCATACAAGGAGTAGGAGGAGGAGTAAAATACACGGTAGAGCCATGCTGCCGCTGTAGCATACTATGGTTGTAGCACAAATGGCTCGGCTCAACCGGGGAAGGACCATGCTCTCAAAGAATACCAGCGTATAATAGCACTTCAATACCACCTCAATGCTGCTATGTTTTCTATTGTGAGTATAGCGAACCGGAGGCCTTATTTACTGGTAATGAGGCATTTCATTTTAGTCTTCGGGAGTAATAACGCAATGACGCATCTTTATTTTCATATTTAAATTTTAGCTAAATTACTCGACTAATTCGATTTAATTTTGTTTTAGTTCTGTAATTATAAGTTGATTGATCTATAATTTCTTTTGCAATGTGTGTGTTGGTGTATGTTGAATAAATTTATTTTCTTTCTTTCTTTCTAATTAAGAGGACACTAACAGCACACAAGGCGACCCCCTTCGTTGTGCTCTGGAGGCACATATGATCGTGCTGTAGATGGTAGTCGTTGCCGTACACCAGCCGGCACTCGGGACGAGGAACCGCATGCACTATCATGCGCCTCAGCTCCTGGTTCTCGCCCTCCCGGATCTGACCAGTCACCTGTAAAAAATAAATTATTAGAATGTACGAGTATACTTTAATACACCGAAATAAAGATAATACGAAATATCTGTATTTCTACGACATAAAACTTTAAATTATTAATATTATTAGCCCATGGGTGTCGTAAAAAGCGATAGAGAGGAACTGATACAGAAGATGGGCACCAGCATCTTCCTGATAAGAAAACGATAATATTAAATAAAACAACGGCCTCTAACTCGCCTGACAAGCGTGGCCCTATGAGGCAATATATAAGGCCTATGTTTATATATTAAATAATCAATATATAAACATAGGTATTATATATAATATATATAAGGCATATATATATATATATATATATATATATATATATATATATATATATATTAAGGCCTATGTTTATACGTAGTATAGCAGCTATATTATGGATGTAACACAAATGGGTCCGCTCTACTGCGTAAGGACCACTTTAATTACCGAACACCAATTACAACTTAAAACACACTAATAATTAATAGGACTAAAATGTCAATGAATTTTGTATGTATATATAATTATAACGTAGGTATAAATACTAACATTACTAACATAGTTATTAAGTAAAATTGTTGCTAATATACTTACACTTAATATGGACGAATTATGTCCGAAATAAAGTAAAGTATAATCATGCTATAATATAAAATTAAAAATGACGAAATAATATATGAATTCGAAATAAAGTATAATTAATCACACTACACTTTAGTTCGCAGTTATATCGCTTCGAAGTATTCGCTTGAATTGCCAATTCAATACTGCCTTTACTTTACTGGCCTCATATAGGCCTTTTCCACTGAAACATCTAGAATATTCGAACACATAACTGTCCCGACCGACTAGGTGTAGAAAGTTCTCTCCTAGTTCTGTCACTTAATACTAGATGGCGCTAGTGGGAAAGTTCTAGCATGAAATTTTCTAGAAAGCTCTCCTAGTTCTGCTATTCGATACTAGATGGCCCTAGTGGTATCAATTATGGCTTGCAACAGTATTTAGCAAAATAATTAAAAGTTTTAATGCGAGTGTTCGTATCTTACCACGGAACCGTATCCGGTGACGATGGTCTCGCCAAACATAAATGGCAGATCCGAGTCGGCAGCAGCTAGCTCCACTGGGTGTATCCGGTTATTGAATGCAATGGGAACGTTCGTCTGAAAGAAATGTTATTATATATCAACACTTAAAGTAGCAGCCCGGAGTTTGAGCTGTCTGTGTTCGCCCACCATTGCCACGAAAATCATGTAAAGCCGTTGGCCCTGCGCCTGATTTCGCTCCGGTCGTGTCGGATTACCGTCGCATCGCAGGAGGAGAGTAAAGGAATATATAGTGAACCTGTGTTAGCGCGCACAGTTGGGCACTTTAATGGCTAGGCTCTGTTGAGACTAACCGCCGTGACAGAAATTCGGTGAAGAGGACATTATTATTAATGATAATGATTACTCCTTGCGATTTGTATTAAGAAAATACTTTAATATTTTGACGGCCCATCATTATTATTAATAATTAATTTCTATATAAGGTCGCGTCAAAAAATAATCTTAAAAGATATATACTAAACAAAAAAATACATTAATAAGCATAAAGTTAAAATAAATACATTTCAGACATTAAGTATTATAGTAAATTAAAGTCAAAATATTGTCTTTCAAAATAAATAAATTAATTAAAAAACTTATAAAAATTATTAAAATGTGATAAATAATCGAAATACAAATTGAAAATCTTACAAAAATAAAGATAAATAACATTTATAAAATAATTGGAAAATTTGTTAATAATTGTCTGTCATGGAAGGAGTTCGTGTATAAAAGAAAATTTAATTGTGGATTAGAAAATTAAGTTATAGAGAATGTTCGTGTATAGATGGTTTGTATGGAGAAGCTGCCGGAGATGCATACCCAAGGTCGTACATTATATATAGCGTGGTCTGGTTACCGACTGCTTGAAGTACTGTTGCACAATGACTAGTCCTATATTGGGGACTTATGGTAGTAAGGTCTATGATACAAAAGCATTATTATAGAAGGTCTCTTTGATGCATAAGCATTATGATACTAGAGTTATGGGTTGAAGTCCTATATATTAGACATATAATAGTAAGGTCTATGAAATAAAGCAAATATGTGGAAGGTCTCAAATAAGTAAAAGCATTATATTAATAGAAATAGGATTTGAAAAGGATTATTACAGTGGCATGTATGCTGCTTCACGAGCAACTGAGACCGAGGTAAACCTGGACTCGCTAACCGATGTGTCCGGTAAGCGGGTATGTTGCAATACGGCTTTCCCGTGGACATCGCATACCCATACCGTTTGTGGGCGGCGTCGTAGCGTATAGCGATACGTCATCTATCACTTTTAAGTGTAACAGGCATACTCAACTTCATGTCTTAGTGCATTAGCGCTATGATACATGAAGTTTTGTCCACTGGCGTGTTAGTAGCGTGCTACTATGATACGTTGGTGTAGTTTTTATTTAATCACAATACAAATTTTGTTACCAAAGTGGATACCCGTCGTCATGTGGGTGTGTTTTGAGGGAGCGCCATCCGTATGATAGTTGCATTGATGCTTCCTGTTACTTGCGGTATTGCATCTTGTGATGGATGTGCGGGTGTACTGCACCTGATTTGATGCTACTTGTGGTTCTGTTCGATGGAGGTATTGTCAATGGCGCTTTCTGCGTCTTCGTTCGACTTACACCTAAGTAGTTTTGCCCAAGTCGGGTTCCTCCATTACGAGGCCACAGTCTGTCTGACCTCCATAACGTTTTGTATAACAACATAATAATATATCTCTGTGACTTTCCCAACTTTGAATGATTGAAGGCAACTTGTTGATGGGTGATACAAAAATGATCGAAAATGCATTTACTCAATGTCAGTGACACAAACCCTTTCTGATGGCGAATTATTACTCTTATCTTATAACTGCATTTTGGCTATATCTGCCGTTGTATTGATTGGTAGAGCATATGTGTCAATCTCATGCGGGTGGTAGCTGGACTCCCAAGGCTGCGGCCGAAATCCGCAAAACGTGGGACACCATTCCATTAAGGTGAGCGGTAGACTCATGACACGCTCTGTAGCTAGTAGCAGTGCTAAACATGCAATCAGTGATGATGCCATACACTTACATCACGTCTGCAGGAGCGGTGGTCTAGCAGGTGGTGGCACTCACGGAGGGTTTACGGCCTGTATGTTTATTTCCCTCCACCATGTGACGTACATTCACTGTGACTGGATTTGTTCGTATTCTGTATGGCGTTTACACGCATTGACATGCGCGACTTCGGTCGATGTTTGTGCTTACGCACTACCAAGGGGCCAAGCTCTCTTTTACTGGTTCGCCAGTTATTTTGCTGTGGACTACGTTCTAGTTCCCAATTTAGCGTTCCTTTCGAGGGGAGTGCATTAAAATGGTTGGCGCTCACCGCGCACGGCGTGTGTGCCTCCCTCACATTTTTTTAAATAAATGTGGGAGAGCGAAACCCTTGTATCGGGTATTTTGTATATGTGCCGATAGACATCAAACTCACCTATGTCCAGTACCGGCCATTTTAAATTTTATTTATTTCTTCAATTCAGCAAAAAAATTACGGTTCTTTTCGTTTTAGATCAATCCAATCTAAGTCCTCGGCTTCCTTAAGAAATTAAGGATGAAAATTGATAATTTTTTTCAATCCCACCTAAGTCACACACACGTCAATCACACGTCGTCTTTATTGTGCCATGACCGCCATTCTTGTTTATTCCACATGCTGGTAATAACCGTGCTCCGTGTTTTTAATTTAATTATGGACAATATAATAAAATTAAATACAGGGGTAGTGTATTACTCAAGTTTAAACTTTTTAATCAACCTTGTAAAATAAGGAGATATTATGAATAGTTGAGTAATCAATTGATGTAGTGGAATTTTAAACGGGATAAATATTCTAACTTACTTGTATTAATCAGATTTTTTTACAGGTACTTGGCGAAATCTTTACCCAAAAAGCCCGCATGTAAGTACATCAAATAAAGCAAATACAAATGCGAATCAGTAGTTACGTTGTACCAGTTCTGGCTCACTGAGTCAGAAGTGGTACAACGTTCGTCGACTTACGATCCTAAAAAAAAAGTCTTGGCATGCTCTGATCACGAATCTGTTGTCCGATTTTGCGTAGGATGCACGGTGCCGGAGATGTGCAGATCAATTAACCAATATCTAATTGATGTCCGGTGAGGGCCTTCACCGTCATTAGCGTCTCATTTTTCCTATCTATTGTTATTGTCTATTCTTCCTCGGCGTGTGCGTCGGCTTATCAGTGCTATTGTATTATACTTCTTTATTCCTAATTACAACGCTAATCTGATTCATCAATAAAACACTTTACATAATTTTGTTACAATTTTAATTTACAAAATACAAAATCTTATTACTTATTATCTATAAAATAGGAACGAAACATCTCATCCACTAAAATATCGTTGTACAATGTGTTCCCTTTAAATATACTCGTAAAACTATGCATTGAACATCTCTGAAACTTATATAGCAAATACAATAAGCAATATTCGCCACAAACTGAAGTCCACTCATTCTGAATCCTATCAACATTCCAGTTCCATCTTTTACAATTCCTTTTTAAAAACTCTAGATGATATCTTACAGGTGATCGTCCATATGAATCAAAATATTGACCGACGTCATTCGTATAGTTATATCGGTAAAGCTACCCAATGTGACCCTGGTTTATCATCTGTATCCAAATTGCATATTATATACGTTGGTACGTGGGTATACATGGGTAGTTTATTAGCAGAATAAACATTATTTTCTAGACTGGGGTGAATCTTTTAAGATGTTGTACATCTAGTGTATCCATGATATTACTGCTATTAGTAGATTATTACAGTACCAATCTACTCAATGACTAACATATGAATGATCAATTATAGTGATTTCTAAATATTAAACTGCATTATTTGTGATATACAAATCGTATTTGAGTCATCGATACATCGAGCAAGACGCAACATGAAGGAATGTTGAGATATATAACAGAATGTGAAATAAGCTTGTTGACGCAAAAATCAGTTTCACTGCAGAAATTTTTTAGATTAGAATTATTACTTACTGGTGCTATATAAGACCGAGCAGCTGCAGTCATGGAGTTAGTGTATGGTCGTTTGACTGTAGTGGATCTATCAATACTACATTTGTGTTAGTTCAACGCATCAAAGGCCATGGATGTAAGTGTTTATTCTATTGACAAACTTACTTTTCTTTCTGTTATTTTCTTACGTGTGTATGATTTAGAGTTAACAAATTATATTTAAATATTGTGTGTGTATATTATTAAGTCGTGGTAGCTCAGATGGTTAGCGCAAGCTGCAAATTTCACAGTAAGCGACCTGGGTTCGATCCCCGCCGGCACCAATTAAATTGTTAATTGCTATTTTAGGTGTTGATTTACCACGTGCTCGGCGGTGAAGGAAAACATCGTGAGGAATACTATATGTCTGAAAAAAATTCCAAGGCATGTGAAGTTCACCAACACGCATTGAGGCAGCGCGGTGGACATTTCCTAGCCCTAAATACAAAGACAATAGCAGAAAGTGAAAAAGTTAAAAATACCTTTTTAACAATGACAGATATTAGTTGATCATTAGTGAATGTAATTCTGTTTACTTAAATTACAGGAAGACAAGAGCAGCAGAAAGAGATGGGATGGTGGGAAGTAATGAAGCATTGTTATGTGAAGTTTGTTGGAACAATCATATTTTTAGTCACGTGTAAATACTTTAACTTTTTTGTTCAAAATGACACAAAACCTAAAAAATATTAGATACATCATCGACATGGACGGATTTTACATTACATAATCCTAATAAACATTTTTAATGTAGAGAAATGGCTATTCTAGACGTGAAACTATCTAATAAAAATGATGCGTTTATCGATCATTATTTGTTTCGGCCAAGTTATCCTTACAATTATTTGTCGCCAAAAGACAAAAAAAATCTTCGTTATTGCGAAACACACGCACGGCATTCCGTATTTTGACGTGAACGAAGAATTAAAATGTGCCTACAAACAGGAGAACATCATTCCCATATTAAATTGGTATATTAGAAATTTGTGCAAAGACGTAGTGATCACATAC